TTTTCAGCATGGAAATTTTATGCTCTTTCATTCCGGTGAGAACACTTTTTTGCCTCAGATTCGCCGTTTTTAAGATAATTACAGATTTTGTTGAAAAAACGTGATTTCTCACTAGATTTGACTTTCCTAGCCGCAGGAAACTACCGCCATATCTCACGAACCAGAAGTCGTAACTTGATAAATGTATAGAATTTCTAATAGGAAATTTTATGATCTTTTTAAAAGGTTCAGTGACATTTTTCCGTAGGATCGATATTTTTCAAGATATAAGCTAAAAACCGGTCGCCGGCGGCGTATTTTGGCCCCCCGCCCGCCCCCCCTTTTTTCAAGATGGCGGCCTTAGCGGACGGCCGATTTTGGTAAACTTTTGATACGTTGTTCTGGTAGCCTAATGCAACATGTTTCCGCCAAAAATCCTCTATATATAGATTTTCCCAGAAAAATGCTAGATTGACTGGACTAGTGCTTCTACCTTTAAGACATTGTGTAATACCATGTTCGCTGAACTTATGTCAATTTTGTTAATATGATCGGTCATTTCACACTTCATATCTATTTTCAATGCGCTCCTTTTATAACATTTCCCTCCATGTTGAAAAAATTCAGTTGTACTGTGCAAACTGTATTTTATTTCATACCTTGAAATACGGTTAGTAAAATAAGGTTCAATTGGTAAGCTTATCATTTTTTCTCTGTAAAATTACCAATATAATTGGTAACAATAGTAAGATGGCAAAGTTACCGATGGACCTTGGTAAAAACGCCAATACTTTTTATAGATCACTGTGGTAGAATTGCCGAAAATAAAATGGTAAAGTTACCGGGAATTGATTACCAATAAAAGTGGTATTCTGACCTGAAAAAACTAGTAAAAATACCGGTTTTTAGGTATAAGCTTACCAGTCTGTCTTGGTAACATTACCAATAATTGGTAAAAAAAAGCGAGATGGTAAAGTTAACGACGGACCTTGGTAAAAACGCCGAGAATTTTTTTCAGTGTGATGGGTTTTGGCTACGTAAATGTTCTTATTAGGCCCCTGTGCATATAACTGTGTTCAGTTTCAACTTTCAAACATTTCGGTCGCACAGTGGTCCAAAATGGGGAGAAATTGTCGACAAATCAGGATTCTTTATCAAATGTTTCGAAATGGAAGTAAAATGGTCGTCTCTTGTAGTTTTCATGGCTAAAAACGTTCTTATCGGTCCTCAATGCATTACGCTGTGTTCATTTTTACAAATTTTCATCGCATAGTGGTCCAAAATGGGGGAATTAGTGGATAAATTAAAATCCTCTGTCAAAATTTTTAAAATGAAGTAAAACTGTTGGTCCCCTGTAGAGTTCAGACCCCGAAAAAAATTCATGTATCTAAGTTTTTTTTAATTATTACTGTTTGTCAGACGGTATTCTTAATAAAACTTTGTTAAAAATTAGATTTTGTAACATTATTTGCTTCTACATTGCATTAAATATAATATGGGTAAGCTTCTTCACCAAGTCACGGTGCTAATCTTTGAAGAAGTTTTTTGTTAATTTTTTAAAATCTTTTTTGTTTTCTGATTTTTTCAATTTTTTTTTTGTTCTTTGTTTTGGGTTTTTGTTTTTTTCTTTTTCTTTTGTTTTCTGTTTTTTTTTTCATTCTTTTTTTTACTGTTGAAATCTTTATTTAATTTTTCTCTCCATTTTTCCTTATTTTTTTTTTTAAATTTCTGAAAGTTTGCATATTTAATAGAAATAGTGCTACAAAATCTAATCTATAACAAAGTTCTATAAACAATATTGTCTGACATGCAGCAATAATTAATAAAAATTAGATACACGAATTTTTTTCGGGATCTGAACTCTGTAGGGGATCAACAGTTTTACTTCATTTTAAAAATTTTGACAGAGGATCTTAATTTATCCACTAATTCCCCCATTTTGGACCACTATGCGATGAAAATTGAGGACACCGCACCAAGAACAGCCTATAACTGGAAACCGCGTTTTGAGAAAAACGCATGTAAAGTTTTGTTTTTGATGTACTGCGCAGACTTATTTCTATGCAGGTACCCTGTTTTGGTGTTTTTGGGTGACCTAACCCTTCTATTGAAGGATGCCGGGTAGATTTTGCGATACATTTTGAGTTTACACTCTACACTGAAAAAAAATTCTCGGCGTTTTTACCAAGGTCCGTTGGTACCTTTACCATCTCGCTTTTTTTACCATTATTGGTAATTTTACCATGACAGACTAGTAAACTTACCTAAAAACCGGAATTTTTACTGGTTTTTTTTAGGTAAGAATACTACTTTTATTGGTAATCAATGCCCGGTAACTTTGCCATTTTATCTCGGTAATTATACAATGGTCGATAAAAAATATTGGCGTTCTTACCAAGGTCCAGTAAAATTACCGAGAAAGTTCAATAATTTTACCGAGATTTCTCGGTAAAATTACCAATTCCATAAATGGTAATTTTACCAAGAAAAAACTGGGATCAAATAGAACCCTGAATTCTTGGTAATTTTACCCTTTTCTTAGTGAATACACCATGATTTTTTTTCCAGTGTAATATATTTAATTTAAAAAAGCGGTTTACAGGCCATTATTACGCCCAACAGTCATTTTGGTGGCAATATGAAGTATAAATCATTTTAATCACGCTTGATTAACGCAAAATAGAAGAATATCGATAGTGAGTAAAGCAAGGGGTAACCAGCACCTTATAGGCCATTAAGTTTATAGTTAAGTTAGGCCGCGCGTATAGGTCGTTCTTGCACCCATCGATCCAGAGGCCTGACTTAACTCGGAAAAAAAAGGTTTTTCGACCTCGAGCCGTTACCTATCTATCTTCTATCGCTACCACAGCATAGTCCAGGGTACGTAGAATCCGAAAAGCAGATGGGCGTAATAACGACCTATACGCCTATAGGCTGTTCTTGGTGCGGTGTCCTCAATTTGTAAAACTGAACACAACATTGAGGACCGATAAGAACGTATTTAGCCATGAAAACTACAAGAGACGACAATTTTACTTCCATTTCAAAAAATTTGATAAAGAATCCTGATTTTTCGACAATTTCTCGCCATTATGGACCCCCACATAGCACAGAATATTGATATAATACTACAATAGTACTGACACGTTAGTAGTGTCAGTATTTATAAAATGCTGATGTATCCTGATTTAATATTATATCAAGACTATGCCAGTATTTATTAGTTACTGATTTGGAGCTGTCAAAATATTGTTACAGTATTGGCCGAAAAGGTTGATTTCATATGGAAATCAGGGTTATGACAAGGTCATCAGAGCACTGCAGGACACCGACAATATGTATGCATTACTACCTTAACACTGACACGTCTGTACACTCAGCGCACTCTGTCAAGTAGATATGAAAGTTCAGACGATGACCGTCATTTTCATAGTACTACACATGCATTTCATTTGAAACATGAATTACACAAGTATACAAGTATTGAATATTATAAACCACTTACTTGATGTCCTGCGACGTTTAGTAGCGTAAAATACCCGGACGCCCTCAGGTGGATTTGAACCCGAACTGTGGAATTCCTAGCCCAGTATTCTGCCATTGAGCCACAGGGAGCTGATGGTGTTTCGGGTTAAAATCACGCCTGTTAAGGCTGTTATAGCATGCATAGCATCAGTGCGCGGCTCGACTTTCATCATAACTTTGATTAACACCGTGTTTTCTTAGGCTTCTTTTTCTTCCTATATTTTTTTTTCATTTTTTTGTGTTAATTTCTTCTCGTGTTATTTTTTTTTTACCTCGTCAGCATTGACTCAATACTGTTGTTTGATATATTGAAGGTATCAGTGTTATATTCATGCTGACGCGGTATACCTTTTAACCGACAATCTTAATATCATACTGCATTAGTGTTGGTGATATCATGTCAACATCCAACAATATGTATCAGAATTGACATAAGATTCTGTGCTATGTGGGAATGTGCGACCGACATTTTTGAAACTGAACACAGTTATATGCACGGGGGCCTAATAAGAACATATACAGCCAAAACCCATCAAAGGTGTAACTTTTTCGTCCATTTTCCCCGTCTTTTTGCTGTAAAAATGCTGTCCAGAATGATGGCGATTTGGCAACTTTGCCCCCCATTTCTCAAAAACCGTGCGTACACAGGGTGATCCAAAAGTCCCTTCCACCCCCTCTAACTTTTTACCTAATTGAGGTAAAGATTTGTGTTATATCGGAAGAAATTAAGGATGACGGAAAAGAGAAGAGCACGAGTTGCGTGACATAACCTTAGAGTGTATTGATAAAAATACAACCTTGCCCAGCAGGCCTGACACCTAAGTAGCGACAATATCACTACTCATACACACTACCAACTGCTACATAACAGTCTCCCTGCCCATTTTAAAATCTGAGGGATTTTAAAAGGAAAACATACAAGAAAGATTTAAGCTCTGATTTAAAATGTACAAGAAAAAAAACATACAGAGAGAATGGATTTACAATTCAAGAGCTGTAAGGCCAGGAGATGAGTTAGAGTATTTATACCTTTTAAACAATAAAATTTCAATAGAGTGAATTATTACAGACAGATTGGTATGTATTGATAGATTAAGGAGGAGTATACCGATCTGGAGGTTTGGAAGGTCTGATAGATTTCCTAATTATTGCCCTCCCTCTACCTACTGAGGGGGGTCGAGATACACTAGATAGTGGGGTACGATTTGTACTTTTGGGCGGTGATTCATCTAAAGTAATAACAACTGCTGTCTCATCTGGAGTAAAAAATGTTTCGGGAGATTTGACATTAAGAGGTCTTGCTTGACTGGTTGGAGTGACTAGAGCTTTGTTAGATTGTTGTAGAGAGATTGGAGATTGTTGCTTGGGCGGAGACCGATCATTACTTGGTTGACTTTGAACTTGCGGAGAGCTTCGGCTTGTTTGAGATTCTGGAGTATGTTGAGATTGTGAGGACTTACATGCTTGAGTGCCTTGTTGTTGAGAAGAGTTCTGAGACGTTTGTGAGTTTGTTGGTAGAGAAGATTGTTTTGTTGGTACTGGAGTTCGGATGATTTGTAGAGGAGGCTGTTTGCGAGGAGAGCTACCACTGAAGTTTGAACGCTGTTTGGTAGGAGATTCTTGTGTTACAACTTGAATTTCATCAAGAAATCTTATTCGACGAGGTTGTACTGAGGAGGTAGAGTTGGAGTGAAAAGGTAGAAGTTGGTCGATGTGACGTTTATGTTGAGTGCCTTGATGATCAACATAATAATGAAGTTTACCTAGTTTAACTGCGATTGTACCCTTTAACCACTTGATTTTTGAATTATATGTTCGAAAAAGAACCGTATCTCCAGCTTGGAAAGAACGAAGAGAACCTTTTGGAGAGGCTTGACTGGAAACAGACGAATTCTTGAGGTCTATTGAGGAGGAGCATTCTTCGAGATTTTCCTCTGTAGGACTTAAGTGAGATTCAGAGAGTGGTGAGATGATGTCAAGTTTTGTTCTTATGATTCTGTTTAAGAAAAGAGATGATGGAGGAACTTTAGTGGTTTGATGAGGAGCACGATGATAGTGCATTAAAAATTTGTTTAAGCAGAGCCGAAGTGTCTTTGGAGTAGCATTCATAGCTCTGAGAGCTTGTTTCACTGATTGCACATATCGTTCTGCTTGTCCGTTTGTACTTGGGTGGTACGGAGCGATTCTTCTGTGGAATCTAACCCCTTGATCGGTGAGGAAGGATCGGAACTCAGCAGAAGTGAATTGAGGACCATTATCCGTTACAAGTATGTCTGGAATTCCAAATTCTGCAAAGGAATCAAACAACAGTTCAGAAGTTTTTTTCACTAGTTGTAGAGCTTGTGATGAAGATTTTTGTCCATTTTGAAAATGCGTCAACAACAATCAGAAGAAATTTGCCAAAAATTGGTCCGGCATAATCAGCATGAACACGTTCCCAGGGTTTTTTTGGATATTCCCAAACATGATTATTGCATTTGGGTGGCATTCTTGAATTCTCGAGGCATGGAACACAAGATTTTGCAATACTTTCGATGTCTTTGTCGATGTTAGGCCAGTAGATGATGGAGCGAGCAATGCCTTTCATTTTGGTGATTCCCAAGTGGGCGAGATGCAGTTCATCCAATAATTTCTGACGAAATTTTTGAGGGATGACGACCCTATGTCCGAGCATTAAGCATCCTTGAACAATAGAGTATTCCAGCTGATTCCCTTTGAACCCAAAAGTTTTGAGGTCTTTACCTTGTTCAAGAGCTTGGAAGAGTGTAGACAACTCTGGGTCTTGTTGAGTTTCCAAAGCGATAGCTTCTGAGCTGAGGGGCAATTGATCAATTTGCGCCGATACAAAAGAGTGGAAGTGGTCTGGAAGATCATCAGTAGGATCATAGTTACCATTGACACTTCTAGAGAGGTAATCAGCGTTGGCATTCTGTTTTGAGGGTCTAAATTTGACATTATAAGTAAAGTTAGTGAGATAACTGGCATAATTTGAGCATCGAGACAAAGTAAATTTTGGCAATAATGAATCAGGAGCAAAGATGTGTGATAATGGTTCATTATCTGTGATAAGGGTGAACAAACGACCATAAATATACTGAAAAAAACGTTTGATACCCCAGACGATAGCTAAGGCTTCTCTATCAAGCTGAACATAACGTTGTTGCGTTTCACTAAGACTTTTGCTTGCATAGGCAATTGGCCTTTCAGTGCCATTTGGCATGATGTGTGACAACACAGCACCGAGTCCCACTAGACTTGCATCAACTGCAAGCGTTATCGGTAAACTGGGATCATAAGGTGTTAATACCTTGTCAGAAATGAGCTCACTTTTGAGATCTTCATAGGCAGCCAAACCAGCTTTGGTCCATTCAAAATGAGAGGTTTGAAGCATTTGCCTTAGAGGATAAGTGCGTGTCGAGAGGTTATCAATAAAAGAATGATAGTACGTAACCTTGCCTAAAAATGTTCGAAGTTCTTCAGCAGACTCAGGTTTCTTTGCTTGAACTATAGCTTGAACATGTTTATCTAGCTTATGAATTCCTTCTCCATCCAACATGTGACCAAGAAATTCAATAAATGTGAGGAAGAATTGACATTTTTCGCGAGAGAGTATAATACCCGCCTCTCTCAGCTTCTGAAAAAGTTTGTCAAGAATTGCAAAGATTTCTTCAATTGAGGAACCAAATACTAATATATCATCAAAAAAATTGACGGCTCCTTTGATACCTTTTAAAATTTGCTCCAGACGACGTTGCCAGGCAGCAGGGATATTAGAGACACCGTACTGCGCTCTTGTAGGCTGGATTAACCCATGCGTTGGAGTGTTCAAAGTCATCGCTTCGCATGCAGCCTGAGAGCACCGAAGATGCATGAATGCGTCCTTAACATCCAGCTTGCAAAAGTATTTACAGCCACGAATTTTTGCAAAGAGTTCCTCCGGCCTGGGAATAGGATAGTCGTCAATTATTAGGTTAGGATTGAGAGTGGTTTTATAATCGCCCGTAATTCTCAGCTTGTTGTTTTTGACAACAACATGTGTGGGACTAGCCCACTCAGAATGATCAACCATTTTATAGAATCCTGATTTGATTTTTTCATCAATTTGGGCAGCGTACTGATCTAGCATGGAATAGGGAAGCGGTCGAGCTCTACAGAATTTAGGTTTTGCACCTGGCTTGAAGTGAAAATCAAGAGGAGGTCCAGTGAGGGTACCTGCTTTATCCCCAAAAATATCTTTGTGTTTGTCGAGAAACTTGTTAAGGTTAATAGAGTCCATTTTATTTAGAGAATTGTGTGCACATACATTGTTAATATCAGTTTGATTGTGGAGGAGTTCATGAAGAGAGAGGAGATCTGCAAAAGGTTTAATCCATTGACGACCAAAAATGTTATCGCCAGGGATATCAGTGATGAATAATTTGAGGTACTCAGTACGATTCCTGAAAGTCACTTTAGCCCAAATGTAACCTATACAGTTGAACTTAGTTTGAGTGTAAGAGGTGAAACTTTCATTAATTTTAGTCATTCTGGCACGAGGAAATAATTTTTGGAGCGTGCTATGACTGATAAGGCTACAGGGACCACCTGTGTCGAGCTCCATACGGAGTGATTTACCATTGATGAGGACATCGAGCAAAATTGGTGGACTGCCGCCAGAGATCGATTTAAATTGATGTTGCAGATAATAAGTATCAGAATCGGGACGAAAATTATGAACTTTAGAATTATCGGAATTGTTTCTGGTATTATCATGAGCTTCTTTACCATTAGAGTACTTTTTCTTCTTACATGCATTGACAATGTGACCTCGGATTTTACAGTAATTACAGACAGCATTATTAAATTTACATGTACTGCGGTTATGAGAACCTCCACAAGATAAACAAGAGTTTGTGTTCTTACTGTGAGAAGGATTGCGATGAGAATTCTTACTGTGAGAAGGGCTGCGGTGTGAGTTCTTACTGTGAGGATGACTGCGGCTCCGATAGTTTCCTGAGTTTTTCTTGAGTTTGGGTCTAGTTTCATGTGAAAACTTGCTGATAGTGGTTGAGTGTTGGGCAGAAGTGGGCTTGAGGATGGCAGAGGCTTGAAAGGAAGATTCGAGGTTAGTCGCCACAGCGACAGCAGCATCGAAGTTGGCAGGTTGCTTCGTTACAATTTCATCGCGGATGTCATCGCTAAACAGGCCGTGGATGAACTGTATACTAAGCGAGTAATCTAGGAAGTCGCCAAACTCACAATATCGCGCACCGGTCTTGAGGCGAGACACAAAATCTGATATAGACTCATCAGCGTGCTGATGAATCTTCCGGAAGGTGATGGCTTCACTAAAGAGCGACGCCAAGAATGGCACAATTTGGGCCAGAAGGGATTTTTCTGAAACCGGGCCCAAACGACACCTTATGATACCCTAAAACTCTGGTAAAAATTTTAGCTCGAGTATACGCACCGTTTTTGAGAAATGGGGGGGCAAAGTTGCCAAATCGCCATCATTCTGGACAGCATTATTACAGCAAAAAGTCGGGAAAAATGGACGACAAAGTTACTTTATTGATGGGTTTGGGCTGTAAATGTTCTTATTGAGCCCCCGTGCATGTAACTGTGTTCAGTTTCAAAAATTTTGGACGTACAGTGGTCCGAAATGGGGAGAAATCGTGGACAGATAAGGATTCTTTGTCAAACTTTTTAAAAATGGAAGTAAAATTGTTGGTCTATTGCAGAGATCATGTGAAACAATGTTCTTATCGGTCTTCAATGCATTCAATTGAGTTCAGTTTATCAAATTTTCATCGCGCAATGGTCCAAAATGGGAAATCAGTGGACAAATTGATCTTCTGCCTAACTTTTTGAAAATGATGTACGACTATTGGTCCCCTGCAGAGATCATGGCGAACAATATTCTTATCAATGCATTCAATTGAGCTCAGTTTATCAAATGTTCATCGCACAATGGTCCAAAATGGAAAATTAGTGGACAAATTAAAATCTTCTGTTGAAATTTTTGAAAAATAACATGAAACTATGAGGTTTTTCACTAGATTCGAAAGGTGTAAATTCAAAATAAGTTAGTAGCCAATAAAAGCTATCCATGTTCACTGTTTTGAACTGAACAAATGAGGTCTGGAAACGGTAATTCTGGAGGAACCTAGCTTTTGGATCCTTAAAATCCGGCAAACTGGGTGGTTTTTGTCCTAGTTAGTTGTCAGAGAATAATTGTAGTTAGAATAATACTTTACAATAAATCCTTTCTAAGGATTTAGGAAAGGT